GTGGTAGTGGTAGTGATGGTAGTAGTAGTAGTAGTAGTAGTAGTAGTCGTAGTAGTAGTAGTAGTAGTAGTAGTAGTAGTAGTAGCAATCGAAATTCCGTTAAGGCTTACGGTCTTAGGGCTAAGGGTTTAAGGCGAGTTTGAACCATGCGAACACGCAAACACTTCATAAAATACCTGATGCGGCTGTGCCCCATCTTACGGACCAGCCCTCAAACGCACAGGACTCTCTACATCGAATAGCCAAAAACCCAACAGCATGAAACCAGGAACCCTGTTAGGGTTGATTCGGTCCTTTGGAGGGGCCACGACCCGGAGCGCTTCTTTATCTCACGTCGTCCGAGTTTCGGCGTCGGCCTGCCGGCCTTCTGTCTCTATAGCAACCGACCAGAGCCCTCTGCCCATATGTATGCTACATCTGGGTTGAGATTTTGGGTTAGGCTTGTGCCAGGGGAGCCCTTCGGACCAACATCCCTTGGGCTTCCAATGTAAAAATGCACAGTGGTTAGGCCCCGTCTGAGACCATGAGCCCAAAGTCCTGAGGTACCCGGAACACCAGACCCTGTATCCTCATGATAACCTGTCGTCGCAGACCTACGCACAACCTCAAGACGCCATGCTCAGGCGGAAGCGACAAAGCTCTTCTTGGCCTGAATTCGAGCGGGACGAGAGATACCAGTTCTGTGAGAAACCTGCTTCAACTCCCAAGACCGCCAAGACCCACAATGCGGATCTTGACAGTCAAAGTCATAGTACTAGTACTAGAAACAGAAATAGTAATAGTAATAGAGTAACAGAAATAGTACGGCAAGTAGGCTAAACAGATATATCTATATGTGTATATATATGTATATATATATATATAACTTTAGCAGAAGCAAAGCTAAGTTTAGTGGCACCATCGCTGAACTTTCGCGAAGGAATCGCTACAGTTGGCCGCTCATACAAATAATGGCTCGAGGAGCTTTGAATCAACTACCACCACATAGATCCCTACAAAACCCAATGAAGCCTGAGAAGCCTGAGCTGAAACGCAACCGCAAACCCCAACCCAAACCCAACGTCCAGAACGAAATCCTGAACCCTAGACGGGCACAACAAAAAAACACAACATGACGTCTCAGGCTCTGAGGCTTTAGAATTAGCCCTGAACCCTAAACCTATACAGTCAGGAGAGCTTTCCTAAATCCTAAACCCTAAACCCTAAACCCTGGTTCAAGGCTTCAGTCCCTCAAGGCTTTGGGCTTCCGGGGATTGCTCGGAGCTCTTTGACCTATGTAGACCCTAAGAAGATGGGCAGTTTTCCAAAACCAAAACAGAATCCCGTGTTAAGGTCCTTTGTATAAAGGTGCCGTGCTATTTTGGGGGCCTTTAAAAAGGGACCCTAATTCAGAGAACTACCCCCTTCGGCAATAAGGATCCTTGCTATAAGCACCCCTACACAAGGACTTATCATAGCTATCTATCAAGCAACTCCTTCTGACACCCTTCCTGCCTCAAACCTATGAAACCAGTCCCCCCTGTTGGACTCCTTTTCTTCGCCATCGCGGCGAGCGGCGAGCAGGGTCGTCTATTGCCTTCATGGCCATCAAAAATTCTACGCGAGGACATCCGACAGCTTCGCCGTAGACCCCTAAGGAAACCCTACAGAAACTATACGACAATCAGTGAGCAAACTTGAGACCCTGTCACTCCCCATGACACCCTAAAAAAAACACTAAACCCTAAACCAATTCAGAATCTACTGCGACAACAACCACCCCTCGACAGAGACTCTCCAGAAGGCCCGGAGACTCCATCATGACTAGCAAAAAATCTCTCGGGAGCAATGCGGTATACCTGGGTCGGCTCGACGTTGAAGCCTGGGAAAAGGCTTCCAACATCTGAAAGCCGTGGATTTTCAGGTTTTGTTACGGGTCATAAACTTGTCTCCCCATTGAGCTTGGGGCTAGAAGTTTTCGGGTTTAGGGTTTAAGGGTTTAGGGATTAGGGTTTAGGATTTAGGGTTTCGGGTTTAAGGGCTATAAACCTAGAACCCACGAAGTCCCCAAAAAGCAAAAGAGCTTGAAGCCTGGCCTGTACCCTATGCAGCCGACATCCTACCAAGACTTAGTGAAACACGTGGGGTGTAGGGTTTAGGGTGAGAACCAAAGCCCTTAAACTTGCACAGCCAACTACCGCTGGCAAACCCCTCGACCTTGTCCACCTTATAAGACAACCCTAGAGCGCCGTGGAATCTCTATAGCAGCCATCAATCCATGTAAGAATGTAAGAACCCCAAATTACCCTTACAGCAACCCTTGAAAGGACCCCCTCTAACCCTTTAAGGAAGCCTGCAACCCCATGAAAGACCAACCCCCGAAAGAAACCCTGGAATAACCTGAAAGGAACCCTCAGAAAGGCCCCCTCTCATACCCTCGAAGGAGCCCTTTAACAGAACTTAAACCCTAAACCCTAAACCCTAAACCCAAACCCCTAAACCCTAAACCCTAAACCCTAAACCCTAAACCCTAGCCCCGAATTTTAGACCCTGAACCCTCAACCCCTTAAAGGACCTTCAAGGAACCCTCCAACCCGAGGCCCTGGCTCAGGCCGCATGGGCGGACTTTACGTTGCTTTCCAACACCCCGGAGCCCGGATCCGCGAAACCTCAGCTGGGTAGTTGTCAAAAATTATGGTCCCTTTTGGGGTACCCTAAATAATAGGTGCCGTATTATAATAAGGACCCAAAAAGGGACCATAATTTTGACAACCACCCAGCTGTCTTCGGCGTAATGTAGGGGCCTTAGTAATTAGAATAGGGTTTTGGGGTTCCTTTCTTATAACTATGGTAGAATGTACCCCAAACCCTATTCTTATTATTAAGGCCCCAATATTATGCATCTTTACGGGTTGGGGGATGAGGGTTTAGGGTTTAGGCGTATGCATCTTTGGGGCGCAGGGTTGAGGGTTTAGGGCTTTGGGTTTAGAACCCTAGGCGAACTTACATCTTCAGCCGTCTTCAGGTGCTCTGACTTAGTGACATATTCCCCTAGGCTTTACGTGATGGGGTCTCGGGCGCGGGATTCCGGGTTCCCTTTGTTTTTGGAGGGGAGGGGGGGGTTGCAGCGACTAGGTTGAGGCGAGGACTTCTCCAGGAGGAGAAAAAATGGTCCCTCGGCCGGCCCAGGCTCCCTCCTCCGATGTGTCCTCGCGAGGCAGTTCTCGCGAGGGTGGACCGAGTTCGAATGACCCTCTTCTGTCCTTTGGCTGAGGGCAGTTCTCCATTGCTCTCCTGGGCTGAGGGCTGTGTTGGCCGTGTGGGCCACCTGCACGCCTTGGGGACGAGGCTGGATTGACCCGTGCTTGGGTTGCCTCGAGCTTCATGGGCTCCTGCTACTGCCGCCCTTGTTGAGCCCTACCTTGCTGCCCCCGCTACTACCAGTCTTGATCCTTATTCGCGAGCGGCTCGGTGCTGCGAGGTGCAGCATCGATGCCTGAAATAGCCCCATAGCCCTGCACCCTGAAGGCCGTTTTTTGCCGAAGGATCTAGAATCTAGAAACCCTGAACCCTGAACCCTAAACCCTAAACCCTAAAGCCCCCGAGACCCTAAAGTAGAAGACCCTGACCTTGGCCTTGGGCTTATGTTGTAGTGAACATCACAAAGTAACAGATGGGTTTAGGGTTTAGGGGTTTAGAGTTTAGGGGTTTAGGGTTTAGGGTTTCGGGGTTTGGGGCTTGGTCTAGGGTCAGAATGACAATGAGCAGTACCTGGATACCCCCAAACCGCTGACCAAACTTTCCGGAGAGGCTGTTTGAATTTGGACCTCTGGCCCCTAATGCCCTACTGCCAAGTGGGCCCGTGGCTGATGGTTCTAGGGGTGTTGGGCTTGTGTGGGGCTGAGAATGAATGACAAAAATGCACAGAGCCCTGCTAAACCCCAAAGTCAGAGCCAGCCACATGTCCGCAAGCGTTCGACGATCCAAGCATGGTCGATGCCCTGCCAGATGCACGGGCATTTAGAACTGAGAGCTTGCGGAACAGAAAACAGATCCTGCGTTTCAGGAATCAGCACACCTGGGATTGGAGGAAACCTGTGTGTGTGTGTTGCCTGCTTCTTGTCTGGGTTCCCAAACAAAGTTGCATGCGGGCCTTTGATCAGGAGTCCTGCAAGGGGTTTCCGAGTTGAGGCAAAGGTGTATGGGGGCTTGCGGACTTGGAGGCTTCGGGGTTTGGCAGTTTGGGGCAATGGTGTGAGAGAAAGGCTCTAGACTTAGAGCTGTAGGCGGATCCCTGCATCCTAAACCCGAACAGTTGGGCCTAAACCATTACCAATACTATTTTGGGAGGTCCTTACTATAAGTACTGTATGAAGGGCAAACCTCATTCTAACTATTAAAGCCCCTCCATTTCACCCTGGCCACCAAGGTTTGAGGCACGGAGCCCTGGAACCGACAGGTTTTCTGAGGCATCAGGTTTGGGGATTTGTGCGTTGGGATTAGGCCATGGGAGCTGAAGGTCAATATCGCCCAAGGTCAGTGTTTAGGGCTTTGGGCCTTTAGGGTTTAGGGGAGTAGAGTGCTGGTTTGGAGCAGGTTTGAGAGTCAGCGCTGCGCACCATGCCTGAACATCATACTCACCAAATTCAAACTTTATGTAAACTGACATTAACCCCTTATAAACCCGATTAGATCCTATCAAACTCGGTTGAAGCCTGCTAACACCTAATTAAACAGCCCTATCAAACACCGCAAAATCTTGCAAACGGCTATGAAACCCAAATCGGCTTAAACATTTGGGGGGGTTCGAGTGCTGTTCTGCTTCGGATCACCCACGCAATTTGACAACTCCGGCCTTGCCGATGAAGACCGCCTTGCTTTCCTTGGAGGGCTTCTAGTAAGGGCTGCGATCAGGCTTTATGCGGGTTCATAACATACGGTTTTTGGGGTTAGGTTTTGGGTGGCTGCGGATTCAGGAGTCTAGAGGTTTCCCACAAGGGCTCCAGAATGGAGTTCTATATGGGATCCTCCAGTTGCTTTCCTTCAACGAAAAAACAGGGCCCGAAACGCTCCGAACTCGGCGCATTCGAGGAGCGCGGCCATCTGTAGGCCACGGGCCTTGTGGCATCCCACCGAAGTGGCAGTTCACCTTAGGTCTTCAAAGTTAGGGTCTTGGGTTTAGGGTTTAGGGTTTAGGGCTTTGAGATAAAAATGACGGGTTTCGCAGGGTTCTGCGGAGCTTTCATGCGGTTTGACGATGAATGTGAACCTTAACATGGTTCTTAAGAAGGTTAGGGAGTTCAGGGTTTCGGCTCGGGGGTTTACCTTTCCGGGCTTCGGGATCGAAGACGCAACTCACCAGCCAATTCGTGCTACTGTGACTGGCGGAATGTTGATAATATCGTAGTGTGATCAGGAGAGCGCCGATGATGGTACTGCACTACGACTTATCATTACCGAACCTGCTCTTGCATGTTGCCTAAAACCGTAAACCCTGAACCCTGGAAACCCGCACCCAAACCATACACCTTAAACTGAGAACCAGAGCGCCGCGTGGAAGATATATCGCTCCTCGATGCCCTTGACATCGAGGATGCCCTTCATCCTGGGTCTCCGCTGTGTTGTGCTAGTTGAGGGTTCAGAGTTTATGGTAGGGGTTTAGGGTTTAGGGTTTTGCTGGTTGAGGGTTGGGGCTTTTGGGTCTCGGGTTTAGGGCTTCGGGTGTAGGGCGTAGGATTTAGGTTCTGTGATCCGTATCGCTCCCAAGGGGAAGAGTCGTATGAAGCTTCTATGACTCACGTTCCTTCTGGGATCCTTGAAAATACGAGTACTGGGCTTGGGTTGAGTGCGTGAAGATTTCGGCTTTACGGGCTTCTGGATTCGGGCTTTTTGGATTTGGGTAGTTCTCCAAATTATGGTCCCTTTTAGGTCCCCAATATAGTACGGCACCCTTATAAAAAGGACCCTGAAAGGGACCCTAATTTTGAAAACTACCCATTTGAGGATTGGAGTTTTGGGTGCCGAGCCTGATGATAATTACCCATAGGCTCTACTGTAGTGCCTCCTTGGGATTACCTTAGGATCGTAACATTGAACCACAAGAAAGAGACTGTAATGGAGCCTATAGGTGATGGCAACACCACACCGTCAAAACTGATCCAAAATCCATGTAGAGCCGGTCTAGGCTTGTAAAGTGCAGGATCTCGAGACTGTAAGATCCCTATGAACCCGGCCCCCTTTTGGAACCCTTATGCATTATGGAAACCGTGGGCACCTAAACCCAGCAAACTCTACTACCTAGAGACCCCAAAACTTCTCGTTGCCATAGGGCCGGTACATCTCCTTGGGATACTTCTTCAAGACTTCCTCGAAGAATCCTCGTTGAGGGCTGCGGCTCGGGATCTACTTCTACGCATAGACCTGAGAGCTGGGATGTACAGAGTTTGGGGTTTAGGGTTTAGGGTTCTGGGATGTACAGAGTTTGGGGCGAGGCTTAGGAGCTCAAGGCGTAAGGTTCCAGGAATTCGGGACCTCAGGTTTCCTGAGGAGGGGCAAAGGCTCAGGGGCTTAGGACAAACGCAGTCCGGAGCAGCACTCCACTAATCGGGTCCTGAACAAGCATGACCAAATATCCCAACCTGTGTATGCCCCTCTATAACACAAAGCCTCTTCGTCACAGAAGTGTACACGCGCTGAACGAACTATATAGAAAATAAAGGCAGGCTGCTTCAAAACTTGCAAAATTCTGATGCCATGATTAAGTACACCAGAACGAGGGATATAACGACAGAGACACGGACAGTAGCAACAGAGGATCTTGCCCTTACGCCTAAATCTCTAAGCAGCATTTCACCCCACACACGGGCTTTGACTGAGAGATAAGTCTCGCTGATGCCAGGGTTGGGTGCCGGGCTAGGAATAGGTCCACCTTAAGTTGCCAGAACCTATGTGCTTAAATTAGCAAGCTCTGGTAAACTTGCTTAGTATTTACCGAGTCCTTACAGAAGGTGCGTTCTGGCGGCTGGCGGTATACTTAAAACCCCCAAACCCTAAACCCCTAAACACCCTTGCGTGAGGTACAGCTTGATTGTCGGAACACCGAATGTAAGACTTGAATCTACCCAAGTCTAAACCCCTCAACCGTAATCGAAAACATCAACTCTCCGGAATACGACTGACGGAGAACACAAAAGTGAGGAATATGTAACTTCCACCAGGTTATTATGTTATTATAAGGGTCCCTCCCTCACTACTCCCAGGTATGTTTCGTAAAGGTTCTGTAAAAAAAACCTATAAAACCCGGCTAAAACCGTAAAGTATCTTCCCCTGAACCCTAAACCTTAAACCCTAAAGCCCTAAAACCCTAAAACCCCTATCCCTAAACCCTAAGCCCTAAAACCCTAAAACCCTCAAACCCTAAACCCTAAAACCTTAAAGCCCTTAACCCTATAAGACTGCTTGAGTGCAAGGGGCTGTTCAGCTTCCCTTGGTGCAGTCCACCGCGCAACTTCACTCCCAGCGCCTTGGCGGATGAGGGCTTTGGGCTTCAGTGTTGCAGGGTTTAGAAGTCTAGGGGTTTAGGGTTGGGGCTTAGGGTTTAGGATGGTTTAGGGGCTTCAGGGTGTAAACGTTTAGGGGTTTATGGGTTTGGGGTTTAGGGGTCTGGGGGCTCAGGGCAACACCAACTTAACTCAGGAGCATAATTCAAAGTCATGTGCAGGCTCCTTCCTTCCTTGGACCAAGGGACCTTGAAGGCTCCTCGGTTCGTTTCTTGAGAGCTCTCGGGTAAGCCTAGTAAGGCTTCATTGCGTGTAGTGTTTTTGGATTTGCGGTTTAGTGCTTAGCAACTATAGGGTTTAGGACACACTCTAAACCCTAAATATTCGGTAAACACATCCTGGCTCTTGAATTGACGGCATATATAGTTTTTCCACTGCAGTAGCATTCCAAAGCTCGTGCCCAACATGTTTCATCATTTTTTGCAGCGACATCCAGGAAGCTCTTCGATAGCGAAGGTACCCAGAAATCTCGGCCAGGCATTACTAACACTGCAAAGCTGAAGAGACGTCGCGGAGAAGACTGGAATGTCTAAGCTTGCTAATTTCTGTCTTCCCATGAACGACCTAAGGATAGGGCCGCAAAAGTCAGTAATCACAAACTACTCATTGCCGAAGAAGATGCATGTCCAATCTAACTCTGAACTACGCCAGATCCTCGAAAACACTACCAATTGCGGGTCTTTAATAAATAGAAGAGTGAGCTTCGGGGATGGTTATAGCATGGAAGAACGTAGAAAAGAGGACTCAAGGTATTGAGGCTCGCATTTCGATCTCCAAACTTACAAACCATCCGCAGCAAAACAGAAGAAGCTCGGTGCCCGAAGACAAGGGACCACGGAACGGGAGTTGAACTGCAAGAAGAAATTCAACTGCGACTACGTCTCGCCTTCGACCCCCAAACTAAGAACTCAAGTCTGCGGAGCTGACAGTGGGATAGTGGGTCTGTGGACAAGACTGGATAACATGCCCTCCCTGAAATACCATCGAGGTGGTGTGCCTTGATCGACGAGTCGTGCATGTGATCGTCATCATCGTCTAGGAACCTCCGCGACTGTTGAAAGGAGGGCGTCGCATCTAGAGATGAGCCTTGAATGAAGCGACTAGGCCTGCCGTGCCTCAACATTCAAACTCCTCATGATGCCTGCCATACCGCATGCCATAAACCCTTTGGCTGTTCCAGTAGAGGCCAAAGAAGGCATCCTTTATAGGATCTGAGTTCGGGCTAGTCCTTGAGGGCCACATGAAGCTTCGCAAATTTGAGGCTCTACATCTTGGATCCTGCATGGGTGAAGGGAAATAGCCTTTCAAAGCTCATTTGGTCCTTCTGTGGTGGTTCATCTTGGCTAATAGGGTTTTAAGGGGTAGTGTTGGCCCTAAAATGACTCTTAGGGATCTTTCGTGCCCAGGAAGTCAAGGGATCAGACACATGGGTTCAAAGGGGTACGTACGGCAATTGCGCAGGTTGTAATCAGGATGACATTTTCGATCTCTGAACTACCCTGTTTCCCAAAGCCTCCCGAAGCCTAAACAGTGAGATGGGCTGGCTTGACCTGGTTCATGGCATCTGAGGACGCGGAAGCATGGATTTGAGAGTCATGTTGGTGGATGCTGGGTTTCTGGGAATCTTTTACACTGAGCCCAAAAACACTCACATGAATTTACAAATTGAATGTATACCTAACAACCCTCTTCTACTTGTCAAGGCGGCTATATTGACATGGCAGTGGAGCTAAGGGAGGTTTTGTCTTGTCATGGAGGTTCGCTCAGGTTTTGGACTGGGCTCTTTCGCGAATCGCGAGAGATGTCACCAAGAACTCAAGAACCTAGGGTTTAGGGTTTAGGTTTTAGGGTTTAGGGTTTAGAGTTGAGGGTTTAGGGTTTAGGGCCTGGACAAAACAGTAACAGTATTCTTTAGGGCTCCTTAAAACAAATACGGGTGTCAAGCCCCCCTCCCGCCCCCGCAAAAAAAGCACACACACACACACAGAGACGCACACACAGACACACAGACACATACAGACACACACACACACACACACAAACACACACGATTGATCTTTAAGGCCGCAGTATCTTTTGAACCCCCAAACTTGGATCCTGCGCCCATGAATGGACCTCAAGCGCACAAGGTCTTCCTATAAGACTTGGCTCGAACTCCAAAGTAATGGGTATCTGGGAGAACAACCATCATGAAGACTCGCCGAAGCTTTTAATCCCCAACGACTCCGCTACATGTTACACTCTGGGGTTTAGGGTTTAGGGCTTAGGGACTGGAGTTCGACAGCCAGGGAACGTGGAGTCAAACTCGAGTGCCCGGTCCTTGCGGCCAACGAGCATTGGTTTCGGGGGACTTAGCACCTGGGCAATAAGTAGAGTTCGAAATACCCTGAAAGGCGTCGGAACTCGGGTTGTGATACTTACAACTCTACGAAATTAACTGCTTACTAAGTCCTTCGACACTCCAAATAGGGAAGCCATTGGGTTTTTTCTAAGTGCGGATCATCTTAAGTCCCCCGGCAATCCTTTGCGATAAGAGCATGAAGGTCCTAAACCCTAAACCTAACGTCCTTTCGACGAGCACCTACTGGAATCAATCGAGTCTCGGGCTAGAGGTTCTGGGTTATTGGGGACGGTTTAGGGTTTAGGGGGTCTTTTAAGGGTTTGGGGCTTCGGGTTTAGGGTTTCGGGTAAAGAGGGGACCATGTGGGGTCTTCAAGGCTACGACCGGCACGCAGGATAAGAGCCCAATGGCCTGAACCCTGGACCCGGACTCTTGAACCCGAGGCGGTAAATCCAACAAACTTGCACCCAAAACGACTGGGGTGTTGCTTGTAAGATTCAACATGGAGAGCCGATGCGTTTTTGAGCTTGGGCATTCTACTTGCGGCTGCAGTTTCTCTATAGGTTTGTCTTTCTTGAACTGTTGAGCATCTCCTACGCCCCATACCATTGGCCGAAATCCTAAGCCAGAGCCGATGCACAAGATCTTCAAAACCCTGGCAACCTTAAAATCAACCCAAATCACCTTGAAACCCTCGAAGCAGAAGAAACGCTAGAAACGCTGGCATCCTAAAACCAAAAGGTTTAGTGTTTAGGGGTTTAGGGTTTTGGGGTTTTAGGGTTTGGGGTTTAGGGCTTTAGAAACCTGAAACTTGGAGACCTGAGAAAAACAAAGCACATGCGTGCAAAAGGCGAGGGAGAACGCCCGCACGTCGCAGAGCTGGTCTACCGGAACCGGTTTCTCCGTGTCCTTCTCGTGGGCTTCTGAGCTAGGTTTTGCAAGCTGGGATGTTTTTCGGGCTTGGGGCGGCTTAAGGTGGCTGAGGGTCTACATAGACAGTGGATCGTGATTGAATCCTCTCCTAACCCCCGTTCTTGAAAGGCACTGCAATGACTAAACTAGACCGCCTGCCTAATTATTCGGTGCTTTGGACCGGCATGGCCGCGCTGTCAAGCCTTCAAGTTCATGGGCAGCACGATGGCAAAAGGATTCAGCTGTTTCAGCTGCTGCAGGACGCCATCGATCTCCTCAGACAAGAAGAGGGCTTAATGTAGGGCCTCAATAATTAGAATAGGGTTTTGGGGCTCATTATACTGTAGTTATAATAAGGAACCACCAAAATACTGGTAATTACTGAGGCCCCTATATTAAGGGGTACGGGCGAAACGCGTGGTTGCAAGCAGGTTTAACTCTGTGACGAACCGAGCCCTAACTCCCGAGTTGTCCGAAATTCCACACCCTAAGCCCTAAATCCCAAAACCCCTTAACCCTAACCCAAACCCTAAACCCCACCAACCCCCTACACCCTAGGGTTCAGGGTTTAGGGAACCCTAAACAATTCCTAAACTTAGGGTTTAGGGTTCCCTAAGCTGTAACATTGCAGACTGCGCTTCGGTATTCGTGCAAAGGTCAGTCTTCGTCAGCAGCAGCCGGTCGGAAAAGGCAACCTCGGCAGCAAAGATATGGGCTTTTTGATACCCCTTATGACTACTAACCCTAAACCCTAAACCCTAAACCCAAAACCGTAAACCCTGTGACTACCAAAGTCGGGTTTAGGGTTGAGGGTTCACCTCGGGAGCTAAAATCTGAGCAGCTTTCTAAAGTAGGGGTCCTTTTTGAATTTAAGGTTTAGGGTTTAAGGGTGCCGTATCTTTGTTGCGGGGGAGCCTAAGAAGGGACCCGAATTTTAAGAACTACCCGCATGGGCTTTTTCCTACCCCATAAACCCTAAACGCTAAACCCTAAATCCTAAAACCCCTGCCTCAACTCAAGCTCCCCGGTAGGGCCTGCTCCGACGCTTCGTGAACGCAAGACTTCTCCCGATCTGCAGACAGCCTCAGAGGGTTTAGGGTTTAGGTTTTAGGGTTTTAGGGTTTAAGGTGTTAGGGTTTTAGGGTTTTAGGGTTTAGGGTTTTAGGGTTTAAGGTTTTAGGGTTGTAGGGTTTAGGGTTTTGGGGTTTAAGGTTTTAGGGTTTTAGGGTTTAGGGGGATTCTTGAAGGTGTAGTGTGCGGATAAGGGTGCGGAGAGGGCTTACAAGGAACGGCTGGGGTAAGGGTTTAGGGTTTTATGGCTTAGGGTTTAGGGGGGTTTCGGGAGGCTGTTGAGGTGCGAGCCCTAGTGGCCCTAGTCCTCACTTCCCAACCAATGAAACAAGAGCTTCAACTGGTTCGCCGCAGTACCTCACATTATCATCATAACTCACTTCAGAACCCTAGTATAGTTATATAACCTATCCCCCTATCTGGGGTTAGTGGCTTTGGCATGAAGCCTTGGAAGTATCGAGTCTCGGCCATAATACGGGCCTTAATCATCGAAATAGAGAATTATACATATCACATATCATCAGGAACCCCCACAAAGTGCCGGTCATTATTGAGGCCCCTACATTAGTCTGTTTCGGTTGGTCTGCGCGGGCCTCAGCCCTAAACCCCCTACCTCTGAAGCTCCACAACCCCAAACCCCTAAAACCCTAACGCCCCTAAACCTCCAAAGCTCCTAAGGTTCTAATTCCCTCAAACCCTACACCCTAAACCCCAAGCCCACAAAGCCCTAATCCCTAAACCCTAAAACCCCCCAAAGCCCCTAAACCCCAAAAGCTCCTAGGGTTCTAAATCCCTCAAAACCTACACCCTAAACCCCAAGCCCACAAAGCCCTAATCCCTAAACCCTAAACCCCCAAAGCTTTTAAGGTTCTAATCCCTCAACCCCTAAACCCTAAACCCACAAAGCGCTATAATCCCTAAACCCTAAACCCCCAAAGGCCCTAAGCCCGATCAGACCATGCGGCTGGTCCAGCAAGTGTTTGGCATCGCAGACACCGAGGATGGAGTCCAGGCGGTAGTTCTCCTCACAAACTTTGCTTCCTGAACCTTACCTAGACGCTAAAGAACCCTACCTTTTTAGGGTTTTTTTCTAGGGTTCCTTCTTATGATTTCTTTATCTACGTCCTTAATCAGAAAGGTAGTTAGGGTAGGGCTTTTCACCCTTAGAGTCGTCCAAAAGCCGTGTAGAATCCCTCATAGTACCCGTATAGAGCCTTGTAGCATCCCTTTTATACTCACACATAGAAAACGCTTCTAGAATCCCCCATAGCACCCTTGTAGAAACTCCTATAAACAAAACTCAGAGAAACTCTTTTAAGATTATAGAGCCCTTAGAGAATTCTTATCGAACCCTCATGGAAGCTCTTACTGAACCTGACTAGAAACTCTGATAGAAACCCAAATAGACTGTTTTTGAACCCCTATACAAGCTCCTATCGAACCCTTAAAGAAACTCTTGAACCGTTGAGGAACTCTTATAGAACCCTTAAAGAAACAACCCTTAAAGAAACTCTTGAAGAACCCTTGAGCAACTCTTATAGAACCCTCAAGGAAACTCTTATAGAGCCTCTGATAGAAGCTGTTAGAGAACCCTCTTGGGGCCTGCATGAAGGGATCCAGGAAGAAGGTCGAAGCGATCGGGGAAGGGTCCGCCAGTCCAGTCGTTTCGATCAAGACACCATCCTTGATGGGGGCTTGCGGTGTCGTGTAGGGCTTGGGGGGGTTAGGATTTAGGGTTTAGGCCCTAAGCCCTAGATCCTAAACCCTAAGCGGTTCAGGGTTTATGGCTTGGCATTTCTAGCTGAAGGCTTGAAGTCACGGTAGTCGGGCTTTTAAGAGTGGGGGTTCTAGGGTCTGATTCGTAAGGATCCTTCCGGGGGGAGGGGGAAGGGAGCCTTGGCGGGGTCTCACTACGGCCCATGAAAAGTCCCATAGCCCTCCTCCCCTTAAGGTTCCTTTAAAGGGTTCCTTTAAAGGGTTCCTTTAAAGGGTTCCTTTAAGGGTTCCTTTAAGGTTCCAAAGGTCTGAAGTTCTTAAGGTTCCTAAGGTCTGAAGATTTGTTGGTCCTCTTGGGTGGGCGAACGTGGCGCATCATCTTCTTAAATGTTTGTTTCCACACCAGGACCCCGCACATCAAAATAGCTTCTAAACCCTAATCATTACCCAACCTACTCCTAACCATAAACTACACCAACCCCAAATAGCTTCGAAACCCAAAGCGTAACCCGACCCACCATTAACCCTAAACCCAACCCTTACCCTACACCCAACCCTTACCCTACGCCCGACCCGCCGTAAGCCTAGAGCCAACCCCAAACTCTTGGCCCACCCGACACCCGTAAACCCTTAAGCCCCTAGACCCCTGCGCCAGACCTTGGTATCCACTAACAAAACCCGGAACCCTAAACCTTAGACCTGAGATCCTAAACCCTAAACCCTAAACCCTAAACCCTAAACCCTAAACCCTAAAACCCTAAACCCTATAAGCCCTAAACACAAGCAGAATTTTCCTGCGGGCCGAAGAGGCGAGATGGCTGCCGCGGGACTGAACATCCTTGAGCACCTGCCAGACAGGGGGTCAAAGACTTTGGGGCATCAAGGCTTGCCGGAAGCACCGCCCTAAACCCTAAACCCTAAACCCCTAAACCCTAAACCCTAAACCCCTAAACCCTAAACCCCTAAACCCTAGACCCCTAAACCCTAGACCCCTAAACCCCTAAACCCTTGACCCCCAAACCGTTATGGGGGTCTCAGGGTTTCGGGCTGTAGGAGGTTTTGAGGTTTCGGAGGTCGGAGTTACGGTTCGGGGTTCAGGGTTCAGGGTTTAGGGTTTAGGGTTCAGGGTTTAGGGTTTAGGGTTCAGGGTTTTGGGTTTAGGGTCTAGGGTTCAGGTAGGAAGTTGGAGTTGAGGTTGAGAGTTGAGCTTTGGGATCGGTCAGGGTTTAGGGCTTCGGGTTCAGGGTTCAGGGTTTAGGGGCGTCTGGCCACGCAGATTTCGGGGGTTCGGACTCCATAAGACTGACGACAATTGCAACAATTATCTGCGCGCTCACAGCGGTGCTTATTCCCCCAACTAGACCCTAAGATCACAGAAACATATCGGGCTCTGAATAATTAGAACCGGGCCTTGGGACAAAAATTGGCAACTATTGCCCTAAACCCTAAACCCTTAACCCCTAAACCGTCTACATTGCGTCACCGGGGCGCCTTCTGCATGCCCTGGATGAAATCCCCACGAAGGGTGCAGCAGATGCAACCTGATCCGGTCGGCTGTTATAAGGTTTAGGGCTCAGGGTTTGGGGCATAGGTCTTTGGGGTTCTATAGCGTAGGGTTTGGGGTTTAGGGCCTGTGGTATCTAAAGCGGTTTACATACAGCTTAGGGCTTCCGGCGGGCCAATGATTGGGGCTAGGCTTTGCTTATTAACGGTTTACCTGGACGCTCAAGAACCTACCGTTACGGGACGCTTAAGGGTCCAGGCAGGTTATATAGGGTTCGGTTTAAGGAATTAGGATGACTTCGGTTGAGTGTTTGAATCTTCGGAGCTAAACCACCAAAAAGGGGTCAAGGGAGTTGAAGGTTTAGTGTCTCGGGCTTGGGGTTTGTATAGGTTTAGGTTTCAAGTTTCAAACCCAAATCAAATTCTTGGTCGTGAATGTTGGCCCCCTTTCTCCCCACCTTTGGTCACTCTCTCAGCTACAGCAGCCCCTCAACACAAACCTCGCATTTGCGGTTCAGGACACCATGAGATACGCCTGAAAGATCCACAACAGCACTTCTCGAAAACAAAGCCCTAGTCCAGAAACCCTAGGCCCTGAACCCTCTTTACTAAACCCTAAACCCTAACCCTAACTACTTTACAAAACCCTAAACCCCTGTACACCATCGCAAGGCATGTCGCCATTGTTCATCTCGACGATCGTCTCAGTGGTACGCTCCGCCTCCAGTCTGGCTATTTGTCACTTACCTAAGCATGATCTACCAATTACTCAGGGTTCTTTATGACACCACGACTCCACAAACAAGCGAGTTTGTTGAACCCTGCATCCCAATCACAATAGTCCAGGGTTATCAGGCTATGATGCCTCTTTTGTTGCAATACACGGTGGAAGAACTCCTGCTTGAAGCCCTGAACAAAAGCCTAAGACCCCGTTCGTAAAGCCCGTTTAAATACGAATCCAAAAGCCTGCTAAGATCCTTACACACCTTCTTGAAGCCATGTACACTCCTAGCAATAGTCTATGTTCTAGCAACCCGGCCTGTTCTACCAGGATTAAGACCTTATAATATAACTTATAACAACGGCAAAAACTCTTGTACACCGTATTGGCCCTTGAAAAATGTATAGAACCCAATACCCAAATCTACAACAACCCGGCCTGCTCGGCGAGAAGTCAAACCGCGTGAAAATCTAGGAAAAAAACCATAGACCCTAAGTAAACCCTAAACCCTCAACTAAACCCGACCCAATAATGCCTACAGTACAAGCCCTAAGAAACCATCAACCCTAAACCCCAAACCCTGAAAAACCCTCTACCCTAAACCCTATAAGCCCTCAACTCTAAACCCTAACCCCGAAAAGCCCCTATACCCTCAACCCTATAAACCCTCAACCCTAAACCCTCCACCCTGAACCCTAAAACTCCTGCCTGCTCCACGAGGGTCGAGTCGATGCCCACCTCGCCGAACTCGTTCTCGATGACTGCAATCCGCTTCCCGTGCTGCTCTCGGAGGATGCCTTTTAAAATAGGCCCCCGAAAATCGGGTTTAGGGTTTAGGGTTCTAGGGCTTAGGGTTTTTTGGGGGAGTTTAGGGCTCTAGGGGTTTAGGGCTTAAGCGCTTTAGGGTGTATCTCTGTTGGGATGGTCTAGGGTTTAGGTTGGGTCATATGAGGGGCTATATATCTAGCTGTATTTTTAACACTGGGAGCAGTACCCAGCCTCAAACACTATAAGATACATCATAAAATACGAAATAATGCCACATTTTATCATATCCTGCCAAGTTGTAGAATGCACTGTCACATGCTACAAGGATAGGCTTTAAATCGTTAGACTAGAGTTCGGTGTATATATTGTAGCAAAACAATGCAAGGACGATACAGGGAAATTTTGGACATGATTCAGACATCTATATTGCACCCCGGCCGAGCTGCGGTTCAGCAAGGTCGTCTTCCCGCTCCCCAAGAAGCCGGTGATCACGGTGACAGGCACCTGCAGGCAAAGCGAACGCCCGGTTGAGGGCCACGAGCTTCGCTGTTTCATCTGAACGGGTGTTTGGCAGTGCTGGTTGGGAATGGGAGTTTGGGAGTCAGGGTTTAGTATGCTTTGGACTCCGGGAGCGGGGATGGGGCCCTACCCCAGTTGGCCTTGGGCCTGGCAAACCCGAAAGCCCAAAAGTCCTGACATTGTAAACTAAGCCTAACAACGTCCTACAGCATCCTAACGACCTACATGCTACCTTGCGAGACTCAAAAGCCTTAAACGCCATACGTCCAGAACCCAAGAACCTTCCGCTGCAGCGCTGATCGATTTTAGGAGTTTAGGCCTTGGGTCTGGGTGTAAGGTTGTAAAGTATGGGCGATTTACACAGTTTGGGTTTAACCTAAATCCCAAACTAATTGTTATTTATGGTAAGTATGGGACCCATGGGCAACAGTTTAGGGTTTAGGGCTTGAGGTTTCAGGTTTGTATAGCATGTAGGATACTCCGATATCCCTGAAAGCAACAGAGATCCTAAACTTGAAACCACTCGAGGTGTTAGACCCTCACAGAACCCTTATAGAACCGCTAACATAGCTCTACAGGATCCACGACCAGGAGTGTGTGCTGGCCTGTGGGGCTGATTTTCAAAAAACCCAGTGTCCCTGGCTGCAGCTTGACGGAGAAGGACAATAACAGTAGGAACCATATAATATTGACAAAACTACCCGAGAAAGACCCCACCAGCCCCACCCGTAAACCCAAAAGCACTTCCCACAACTCCCACACCCTATAGGCGAATCTGGGAAGATAAGGGAAATAACAAGCCCTAAGCGTGCGGGATCATCAGTATAAAAGCCCGCTTAACGTTTACGGTTTAGGGCTTCTGGTCTGGTTCAGGGTTTAGCGAATGCTTTTCACCGACCACACAAAAATAAACATGCTTTCCACATTCACACCAGAACCCTAAGCACGATTAACCCCCTATCAAACCCTCAACCGCGAACCCCCCTCTGGAGGCCCGAAAAACCACACCCTGCACCCTGGCCCGAAACCATACCGGCCCTACCTATGGGCTCAACAGGCGACCATTCTAAGGAGTTATATATATATATACATAGAAACCATAATAAGGAACTTTAAAATGGTATAAGTTTTTCCAGCCACAGGTGCCTTGTAAAGCCCTGGAAAACAGCCCTAAACCCGTGAACCCTTAAAGCCCCCATTTGCTTCGCAGGCGTGGCTCGAATTCCAGCCGCTGTCGCTCTCTGCGATTACTGCTTGACGACCCTAGGCCGGCCCTTTAAAGGACCAAAAAGAAAGGGCTTAGGTTTAGGGATCTCTCTTTGGGTTTACGGTTAGGGTTTAAGGACCCTGGCAAATATTCCGGTATACTAGTATAGGGACGAAAGACGAGAAACAATGCTAAATGCTCGACCTCTGAACTTGAGCACATGATGCTCAGGGGATTTGGTCCACAAGGTGCTAGACAATGCCACTGTACAAAAGGTGTCAGTGTAAAAGGCTGACGACAGGCTGATACAAAAGTAGTTTGCACGCCCTGCGAACAAAATATAGGAGCCTGGACAATTAGACTGAGATCTATGGGAATGCTGGCTTAGATTCTTATACGGCTCAGTCTAGGAAGACAATGCTATAAATGTCCCGGCCCCTATATAATAAAAATGACGGAGCTTCCTACACCGTAAGCAAGGCAGGCTGGCTGCACATGACTGCCCAGCATGCTAAATCAGTGCTGGGTATTGCCGTCATCAGCTTGCGAGTGGCCAACACAACTCCCTAAACCCTAAACCCTAAACCCATCTACCAATGCATGGTGGCCCGGTCCGAGACTTTCAATCCCGAACCCCAAGCCGTAAACCCCATGGCCGCATGGCCCAAGCCCCAAACCGTCCCTTGCTTGGTCTGTCTAGGGTTTAGGTTTTAGGGTTTAGGGTTTAGGGTTTAGGGTTTAGGGTTTAGGGTTGTCTAGGGTTCACGGAAGGCTTAGGAAGATCAACGCGCTCTATCCAATTCCAAAGTCTGTTCATGCTGACCCTTGAACTCATTTTTGGACTCCCGAGTGAAGCCTTGCCCCCTGAGACGGCTTTTACCTAAATTTTACAGGGTGCTAGCAGGCCCTCTATTTTGGTTTCTATATAACGGTCTCAAAAAGGGGTCTAGGGGCTAGGTTTCACTGAAGCCACAACCTGTGGATTGTGGCGTGCTGAACTCCCACCGATATATCCAGGATCCCCCAAACTTGCCGGCTTTGGATGCTTGAGAGTATGTGGCTTGGCCGGTTCAAACATGGGCGACCTACTTGGCGGAGGCCCAATCTACCCTGAAGCCCTTAAGCCTGAACTCAAGAAGCTTAAAACCGCTAGGTTAGAGGTTTAGGGTTCCCATACCAATCCCTACAGACGAAACCCGCTTGAGCAAAAAAAACAAGCACCACGTCCGCTCCCAAACTTGCCGCACGAGGCTGGTTTCAATGAGGTAGGTATGATACGAGTACGACATTGGAGTCCTGTTTAAGCCTCCCTCGCAAGCGAATCCGAGTCTGGGAAACCCCAATACGGTTCAGGACCTTGCAGGATGAGAAGACTGAACGCGTAGCATCTACCTAGTTCTTAGCGGAGGAGAATAACTCTAACAGTGGAAGTTCTCGCCGTTAGCGACGAAAGATATACTCGACATATCCCACCCCCGATCCCCGAAAACGAAACCCTGGACCCTAAACCCCACAACAAACCAGGTCCTAAGCAGAGTGTTTGGGTTGCAAGCTGGTCACCACAGGCAAGCACGCTGCTGCATGTGCAGAGAGCGCGGAGAACGCCCATGCACCATCAGCGCATGCAACGCGATTCAGGGGTTTCCGAAAATCCCCAAACCCTAAACCCTGTAAACCCTAAACCCAATAAACCCTAAAATCCTATAAACCCTAAACCCTATGAACCCTACACCCTATAAACCCCAAAACCCCTCTAAACCCTGAACCCTATACTATAAACCCTATAAACCCTATAAGCCCCATAAACCCTACAAACCCTATAAACACTATACTATCATACCTATACACCCTATAAACCCTATAAGCCCTAAAGTATCGGAGCTGGTCGGCTCTTAGATTCTTAGTGAAACCCCCTTAGCCTACTTAAAGGGTCATGGGACTTAGTAAGTAGGCAATTAGGGTAACTATACTTATAACCCCAATTACGGGACTTATAACCTTACTTACTAAGTCCCATGATCCTCCAAGTAGAGCCACTAAAGCATAGGGGGGTCTTACGGCTTAGGGTTTGGGGTTGAGGGTTTGGGGTCGTCAGAGGATGTCTCCTACAAGCCCCCACTTTTGGGGGCCCATGATGCAAAAACTGTAATCTCCTATAGTCCTTCCGGTTTATAGGTAGGGTTTAGGGTTTAGGGCTTATCTTTGAAAGCGAGTCATATTTCAAAGCGGTCCCCTGATTTTCAGAAAGTCCCACCTGAATCGCCGAAAGAAACGGAGCCGCATTAAAAGGCACTCTCTACAGGGCTCCCGGAGACCCACAAGGGAAGAGTAGCTTCTCCGATCTTCCCCCCGATGCGATGCTATGCCAAGACTATAATCCATAACCCTAAGCCATAATGTCGGGGCCTTAATAATTAGAACAGGGTTTAGGGGCCCAATATACTATAAATATAATATGGAGCCCCCACAATAATTCAATAGTATTGGAAATTGTTTAGGCCCCTACATTAAACTACAAACCCGATTTCTTGCAAAACCTCTTCCTTCGGGGCTTTTGATGTGCCTTACCTACTTGTCCAGTGTCATAGGGGGGAATGAAGCATCACCCGTAGGATGACATAGGTTGAAGGTGACTTGCTCTACTACTACCGGTGGCCCAAAAACCTGCAATTTCGAGAAGTCCCATATATAGAAGGCATGATAAGGAACCCTCAAGTGGTAGATTGTTTCGGCCACGGGTAAGTTCAGGATTGTAGAGGTCGCTCGCTTCTTGTCAGGTGTGTGGTTGCCTGTAACCCCCAGCGCTCCCTTAACATGCCAGGATATGGGATCCAGAGGTTAGTTAGGGTCTAGGATTTCTAGCAGCGCTTTGGATCCAAAATACCCACAAAAGCAGTAACTCCTTGCGCTCATACGGTAGTTTATAGGACGCACAAACAGTTGTGTTGTTGAAGTAACCCGTGGCGAAGGTGTACCGGCAATGTTGATGCTTTTGGGTTTTTGGACGTGTCGGGTGTCGTAGGGTTTCGGGTTAAGGGCTAGCGTAGACGTGGGAAGATCGGACTGTTGGCAAGTGCGCAGACACTTAGCTGCGGACCTCTTGAGGCGCACGCTGTGCACCGCGGGCGCAAAGCTCTTAACACCGTAAGCCTTCAAGGCCCTATCATACAAAAATCCTGAAACCTGGATACCCCCAAGACCGTATAGATAGATAGATGGATAAATAGATAGATAGATAGATATTATAAAATATATATATATATACACATATATACATACATGTGTATATATCTATACATATTGCCAGCAGATGCGGTAAAATAATTAGTCCCTCAAGTGCCAAAACTGCCAAACGATGCCTCTTCCATTGTCTGCAAAACCTGAGTTCCGCAAGACAGCACAACACAAAACACATGAGCAAGTCATTGTGGTATTAAAGTATATCGGCGAAATCTAAATTTGAGCCCCGATGGGGTTGTACAAGCACCCCCAAAGAATGCAAGGTTGCACAGACTCAAAGACCAAGAAACTCCACTTTAGGAGGCTACCCACCTCTTCCATTCGATGAGCTGCATCGAGCTGACGCCAACAGGACAAGAGCCCTGGAAGCGGGGGCTTAACTCTAGAGGTTCAGGGTTTCGGGTTTAGGGTTCAGGTTTCGGGGTTCCGGCCCCCACACTGGTGCATGGCTGGTAGCTCAAGACAAGTATCGACACTCGTCCTTGGAAGTAAGAGAATTACATAGCATGTCCCTCGTTCTGGCTTCTGATGCTAGACACGCGCACTCCCATTTTGTTCAACTGTCTCAACCTTTTGAAAGCTACCCACGAACGCCCAAACTCTGAGACCTCAACCCTGAACCCTAAATCCCGAGCCGCGACCCCAAACCATGAACCCTATAAATTCCCTAAGCCCTTCAAGGAACCCTTAAAGGAAACTATCCCTAAGGGTCCATGTGCCCATATAGCATGTACGTAGACCCCAAGGTACCCAAATAGGAACTACATTAAGGCCATTGTGTATCCTATATGAGTACATGGACCCTTAGGGTATTATAGATACTAAACCCTAAACCCTAAACCCTAAACCCCTAAACCCTATAAACCCTAAACCCTAGACCCTGAACCCCCGGCACCTGCTTTGTCGAAGATGAGGCTCTGCAGCTTCTGATTGAACAGGAAAGTGTCTTCGATCCTCTCCTCGGGTTATTGGTACAGTATAAGGGCCTTAATCATTAGAATAGGGTTTTGGGGTTCTTTATAGTATGATCTTAATAAGGAGCCCTAAGGAATCATATTCCTCATTATCTTACTTTGTTGGGATGCTTGCCCGCACCCTGTATCAGTCTTCTATGTTTAGAGATATTTTGACGGCTATGTAGAAGTACATTACATATAGTATATACCTGTTTCAGAGTGGGGGCAATACCCAAGGTTAAGGGCTTACGGTTTAGTAGGGTTTAGAGCTGTATTCTTAATAGGAAGCCGGAGGCAGAGAGCTAGACGCAAAAACGTATTCCGCACATGATTCATAGATAACAACCAGAAAAACCTAAACCCTGAACCCTAAACCACTACAGGCCAAAACATGCACCACTGAAGCCCAAAGCCCTACGCCCGAAAACCACAACCCACAAAAGGCCAAAAGGTATACCACAGGAAGCCCCGAACCTCGAAATCCCAAAAAGTGAACCAGAAAACATAACCCTAAGGGTCCAAGTACCTAATAATCATATACTCTTCTGAATACTAACCTACAAAACCACTATCCGTAACCCAAGTACATGATTATCAGGTCCTTTGGACCCTTAGGGACAGGTCAAAAGGCTTACCACTGAAACCCTAAACCCCCCTAAAACCCTAAACCCCTAAACCCTAAACCTCTAAAGCCCTAAACCCTAAACCCCTAAACCCTAAACCCCTAAACCCTGAACCAGCAAAAAAAAAGTCAAAAGACCTAAAACCCTGAAATCCTAAACCCTAAACCCCTAAACCCTGAACCAGGAAAAAAAAGCCAAAAGGTCTACCACCGAACCACGTCTCCAAGATGTACTCCACATCCTCTGCCCTCGAGGCTTCCATGCTTTCCTGGGCCCAAGAGCCACGAAAAAGCCTTCGGGGGGGGGTTGGGGTTTGGGGTCGAGGGCTTATAAGGCTTTAGGAATTAGGGTTTTAGGGTTGAGGGTTTAGGGTTTAGGGGTTTAAGGCTTCAGGATTTAGGGTTTGGGGTAGGGTTTAGGGTTTTGGGCTCAGGGTCTCGAGTTTGAGGTTCAGAGTAGAAGGTTTTGAGTTAGGGCTTTGGGTTATAAGATCTCCAAGGAGCTTAAGGGCTCAATCCTGATTGTGAACTAGAAGTGTTCCACAAAGATTCCGAATGTGTTCTAGAAAAGCGTGAAGAATAGTGCTCCAAATTTCGAAAGTGTTCCAAGAAGCATTCCGAGAGAGCACCCTTGAATCTGACAGCTTCCGGCTGGGAACACATTTTGGGACACTTTTCGGAATACTTTTTCAGCAGCAGGTCATTGGCGGAACACTTTTTGAGGACACTTGTTGGAATGCTTCTTGGAATGCCTTTTGGGAGGCCCGTCCTCTCCAGATCCAGGTAAACAGCATTCCAAAAAGTGTTCCGCAGAGCGCTCCGTTGGAATGCTTTTTGAAACACTCTTTTGGTTAGAGGGTCCCCGTGGAACACTTCTGGAACATATTTTGGAATACGTTTTCAGAATCAGAATGCTTTTCCCCGCGCTTTTCAGGAATGCTTTTCGGAACACTAAACAATCCGATCTACCCCTCCCGTTCTTTAGGCCTCGGGATCCAGTAAGTTTGGGGCTTGAAGCTTACGGCAGTTTGAACAAAAAGTTCGGGGCTGAAATTATAACAAGGCTTTAGGCTTCGAGTTTTTGCGTTTAGGACTTGGGATTTAAGGCCCTTTTGCCTGCTGTTCAGCTTCAGAGAGTCCCTGCAGCCCTGCAGCGCCAATCCTAAACCCAAACTGGTGGCAAGAAAAACGGCTCTACCCTTGACCCTCAACCTGGTGGGGGGTTTGGGGTTGAGGCTTTAGGGTGGAGGGTTTCGGGTTTAGCCCTAAACCCTAAACCCTAAACCCTAAACAGGGTTGAGGGTTGAGAGTTCAGGGCGTCGGGCTTGGGGTTGCGAGTTTAGGGCTGGGGGTTGACGCGAAGGCTCTACCCGCAGGTTTCGCAGGCTGCTCTCCTTGTCCTCTACCGCCTTCCGTGAATGCATTTTGACCTGGGGCGGCGCCGGGTTATGAGGGCTTCATGGGGTGCACGATGTGGGGTTGTTGAAATCCTACACCTGCGCACAGCATCACAACCCGAAAGCCGAAACCCAAAACCCAAAGCTCCAAAAACACTACTTCTCACATGAATCGTGAATCTCAAAGCCAACCTAGAATCCTGACATGACATTACTTTCAGAAGCAAACGTTGGCATAAAGTGGATGCACTATTAGGAGGAGCGTTGGGCTTGCAAGTAAGGCCATTAGCACCTTAATTGGGGATACAGTAACCACAATTATAGCGGCCTTATACAATATTGCGCATAGTCCCAGGAGAACCCTGCAAAGCCGTGTGCGCTGAAGCTGGGCCCTCAGCAGCTCCAAGTCATGTACACACCCAGGTTTAAGGTTCAGGGTTATTAGTGTTTAAGGTTTAGGGTTTAGGGTTTAGGGTTTAGGGTTTAGGGAGTTATTAGTGTTTAAGGTTTAGGGTTTAGGGTTGAGGAGTATATTCGTCTGAGCGCCGCCGAGTTAAGAAGTGCTACAGACCCAGACCGCCCCTTCTCGGTACTTCTCAAACCTTGCAAAGCCGTCCTGGGCAGAAGACTACAAAACCGTCAGGTGATTTCAGTCAGGGGCCTTAGTTGTGGGAAATCTTTTTCATTGGTATCCCACCGTTGGGGTTGCACATTGTCTGAAAACCCCCTTTAAACACTAGCAGAGATCGAGTTCTTGAATTGTTCTTTAAATCCCTGAAGCCCTACACTCTATACTCCTTAGACCCCTTTTGAACCCTTACAGGCACTGTTATCCGAACACGGTTAACAGAGGCGCAAAGCCCAGCGGCGTGCTGCCTGAGCCTCGCCTCATCCGCCTTTACAAGCTCGGCCACACACCAGGCCCTGCGAAAAAGTACCTTGGCATCGGGTTGCGAGTTTAGGTTCTCAGGGGTTTAGGGGTTTAACCCTACACCCTAAACCCTAAACCCTAAGCAGACAACCCTAGAGTTTTGGTTCCAGGCAGTTCAGGGTTTAGGGTTAGGGTTTAGGGTGGTTTCAGGATTCCGTTCATGGTTCTATACTAAGGGCTGTCGGGCGGCGCTTCAAGGTAACTGGGATTGAATAAACGGGCTGTGCGGGAGTTCTGTCGAGCTGATACTAAGGGCTCGGTTTAGAGCTTTCAGGTATAGCGATCGACGGTTTTAGGATTTAGGGTTTCGGGTTTTTTCGTTGCGGGCCTTCGACGACCCACCCACCATGAAGGGAAACGAGATCTGCAAAGATATCTCTCTTCCACAGTAAAAGCAAGATACCCTAAACCCTATACCCTAAGCCCTTAACCCTAAACCCTTATATAACTTGTAGGAACCCTTAATTAAATTAGAGGAACCTGCCTCTCTTGCACAAGCACGCTAGCGACAGGATAACTTGGGCTAATCTGGGCTCAAGGTTTCGGGGTTTAGCGTGTGGGGCCTTTGGTGCTTAGGGCTTGGGGTTTAGCGTTTAGGGTTTAGGGTCTAGGGTTTAGGGCTTCAATTAATACATGGGTAGTTGTCAAAATTATGGTCCCTTTTTGGGTACCCTAAATATTAGGTGCCGTATTATAATAAGGACCCAAAAAGGGACCATAATTTTGCCAACCACCCACATGTTGAAGCACTTATTGGAGTAAGGAGCCCAACGAATGGTAACAACGAGTCGTTGAGACTCTTAGACTGATGCGTGCTATGGTATGGAAGGCCTGCATAGGTAGTTCTGACAGATATAAACAGCCAAACCCCAAGCATAGACCTAAACTATCCAAATTCATACTCCTAAAACTCTCCCTAGCCAGGAACTTGCCGATACAGACGCTCGTAATAGTGCCACGGGTCGGTTGTCTGAAACACCGCAAGAACCGTGCAAGAAATCTCTGAAGAAACACCAAACAAACCCCCTTCACCTAAATCCGCATTACAGACGCTGAGCGATAGGTGCCTATGAAAAGGAACATTAAGGAATCAAACAGTCGAAGCAAGGAACACAGCCAGCATCCACGGCGACGACTTGCGAAAAGTGTGGATTCTTCCTGGCCAGCAAAGCCATCATGTCGTCAAACCTTGGTGCAACGTGCAAAGCATATTTACGGCTTTGAGTTTTGCGTGCAACGTTGTTGAAATTCGTTAAACATGCGTTAAAAATCGCTTGCAGGAAATCCGAACATTAAACAAACATGGATTTGACATGCACCAAAGTCTCGATACAAAATCTGCGTACTGTGAGGCAGCCGAGGAGTGACTGACGTCCGTGAGTTGCTGGCTTGGCTTTGTTAGCTTGGACTACGGCTGGCCAGCGTTCTCGCCCTGAATGCTGTCGGTGCTTGCCATGCTTGCTATGCTGGCTATGCTGGCTATGCTTGCTTTGCTTGCTTACTTGCGCGTTTGCTGGTTCATGTGCACACACCTGCACATAGCTGTACAGCAAGTGCACGCATGCGCAGTTTAGGCAGACATATACGCACAGATGCTGTCCGTGCACATAAGCCATCGGAGCAGAGTCTTGGCGTGTTTTTGGGCATTTTCATATGGGGACTGGGAGGGTGATAACACACCTACAAACACACAGCCTGGGCATCCCTACCTTAAACCCAAGACCCTACCCCTAAACCATAAGCCCCTAAACCCTAAACCCAAACCCAACCCCCTAAACCATAAACCCCTAAAGCCTGAACCGTCAGCCCCTGCGGCCGAGACCCTCAAGCTTGCATCCTGCACTCAAAAAGCCTTCCTAGCTCCGAAGACGAAACTCGAAACGACCGTATAATTCTGGACCCTCCAGATAAACCCTAATTTGTGTAAACTCCCAGACGACTCTGCGAACCCCTTCTAAAAGCGCACTGCAATGTGATTGAACATGCCACAGTTTGAATGGTCGCTTCGGTATGGGCTTGAGGTTTGAGGGTTATAACGCACCTGTAAAAAAGCAGCTCTATAATCCCTAAACCCTAAAACCCAAACCCTAACTCAACTCTAACGATGGATCCCAGGAGCTTGTTCATCTCGCATCCAATGCTCTGGCCTAATTAGGGCAGTCTGGTGGGTTGAAAGTACCAAGGGCCGTGTCGAGTTTAAGTCCCGGGTTTTGGGTTTAGGGTTTTGGAATGACATGTCTTACAAGAGGTTGATAAAGCTTTTCTGAGCTTCCTGTAGGGGATTTATGAGGGTTCTACAAATGCGGCTTCCTTACGAACTATTCAGCGCTCCCTCAGACTTTAGAAAGGCTTTCTAGGGTCTTGAAGGGGATGTCGGTGCTTCGGGAGCATGGAGTTAAGACTTCAGGGCTGTATGGTTAGCTTTTAGGGCTTAGGGTTTAGAAGTAGGAGAGTTTGGCTTTAGGGTAGGAGAGTTTGGCGTGCTTCGACAGCTCTGCAGTAGCCTGATGGCTTCTTGGATTTACAAGGTTTAGGGTTTAGGGAAAAACAGAGCCCAAAACCCATTAACTCAGCAATACGGCTCCAAGTAAAGGTGGGTGGGGGATCCTAAACGAGGCCCCTAAACCCTAAAACCCTTAATCCCCAAACACTAAAACCCTAAACCCCTAAACCCTAAACCCCCTAAACCCGAAACAGAAGTCGGGGATTCCTTGTGAAGGTGCCCTTCAGTAACTTCAGTATTGGGGTATTGGAATCTTCGGGCCTCTGAGCCGTAAACCCTAAATACAGACTTTTAAATCTTAACCCTAAACTCTAGACTTTAGGGTTTAGGGTTTAGGGTTTATAATAGGGCCCCAAACCCTAACCTAGACCTCAAAACCGATCGGCAGCACATACGCCAGAGAACCGTACCAAAAAGGGGCCTCCATCAGACTGGTGTTTGTGGGGAGCTGTATACTACACATGTGGGAGTTTCCGAAATGAAGGGGTACCTTATTTGGGGGTCCTTATGACAAGGATCCTATTATTTCAGGTATGATATTAGGGTCCCCTACTTCCGGAAACCCCCACATATGTATGTGTGTGCATATAAAACGCATAGACCATGGATGCATCGGAACCCTAAGGATCGCGATGAATGGTTAATCTGGCCCTTACACTAGACTCCCCCTCTACAGCAGTGCAGAGCAAAACAACTCTCTCCTACCTAAAGCAAGGAAAGCCGAACGGATTTTAGGGAAGTTCTTGGCCTTAACAATGAAAATAGGCGCGTATTGTAGTCGAAATAAAACAATACAAGGAGCCCTAAGGAACGATGATTGTTAACTACGCATGCTTCCACGCTGTTGGTCTTCGGAGTTTACGATTCTGTGCATCCGAAAAGGTTTGGTGTTTTCGAGACTTTCAGCTCTCATGAACTTGACAAAGGTTGGCTCGTTGAGCATGTGCTGAGCGTTTCAAGGGCTTCAAGCTTCGGGCATGTGGAGCTGGGAGCTTTCCTGTTGTGTTTAGGATTTGGGGTTGAAGATTTCGGAAACCGTCACACAACAGAATGCTGCTCCCTCTTATGGTAAGATCGTCTGATGCCGCTCCAAGAGGGCATATGGTGGAAGCACCATGGCCTGATCCTCAACCCCCTAAGCCTGAACCTTAAACCCTTGACCCGCCCCGCCCCCCCCCCCGTGGCGGCCTTTTGTCGGGCCTTCTGTAGACAGCGGCGCTGTGGTATTCAGCATCTTCGGCAGACCGCAGGTGCAGCCAGGATGCACCTGTCCGCTGCTGTTTGCATGCAATTTTGACAACAAGAAACCCTAACCCTCCAGGTACCTACTATGTAGGGCCCTAGGGGCTCTAGTACCCTATATGATGGTTTCTTCTGCAGGCTCTTTGTATAGGCCCTGGTCACGGCTTTCTAGGTTGCAAAGACATATCAAACCAATCGGCTGCTATGCCGAACCCCCTCAAAAATAGTATAGGTACTTATTTAATCTATTTAGGCCCCTACGTTGAGCCCAACCACCCTAAACCCGAAACCCCCCAAAAGAATGTACCCAGCCTGCCCCGTCACAGAGTCCCGGTCCCCATCGCGATTCTCACAAATGCCTTAGCTGTCCAGTTTTTGAGCTTGCAGGGTTTAGGGTTTATAAGGGTTTAGTGGTTTAGGGTTTGAGCTTGTAGGGTGTTATCGGAAATTTACGAGTTTCTGTATGGGTTCGATAAGGGCTTAGGGACTGAGAGCTCAAGCGTTAGGGTTCAGAGTTTACGGGTTTGCCGTGTTGGGTTGGGGGTTGGGGTGTTAGCGTCGAACTCACCGCCCTCTCCATAAAAAAAACCAGGAGAAAAAGGTTTGGAAAGCTTACAAACTCCGCTGGGTCAACCCTGAACCCTAAACCCCTAAACCCTAATCCCAAGATGCCTGCATGTTGGTTCACGGCGAAAGCACAGATCCAATACACCCGATCGGAGGTGCCCTGCTGTTGCAAAAGTGCCTCCAGAGCTCTCCCCCAACATGAAGGAAGCTTAGGTCTTCGGGACTTAAGGCTGTGGGATTTACACCAGTAAATGTTTTGGGCGTATGGGATCTAAGAGGGCTTGGGGTTTATATAAAGGGCTTAGGGATTTACTGCTGAATTTTTTCGGGTGCAACAAATCTAAGAGTGCAAACTCAGCAGTTCAGGGCTGCAGGTGGCCTGGACAAACAGAAGATGTGCAGCTAGAAAACAGAAAAGCTTGACAAACATGGTTGAACATCCGCTGCACCCACGTGGGATCAGGTATCATGATGAAAGGAAACGGGGAAAAATGCACCGGAGACCTCACATAGCGCTTTTCAACGGTAGGAGCCCTTTTAAATACCCGGCATCTCCCGCACCTCGAGCACGGACACGTCCTCTTCCAGCAGGGCAGCCACGAGCCCGAAGCTGCTTTCACCCACGGCGTCAGCAATGACAGCCGCCACCAGATCACGGAACAGATTCCGCCAGGAGTGCGTGACCATTCCTGGGAGCTAAGATTAGGGGGACCCTTGGGGATATAGACCCTCTCCATAAGGTCCCTTGTAAGAGAGCCAAAAGTAAATTTCAGAAGGGATACCCTTTAAGGGGTACCACTTAATTAATAATGCTACCTAATTCCTGGATGGGAAGGATCTGGCAGTTCCCAGGGAGCCCCTCAAAATGCAACCCCCGGCTTCAGAAAATGTTTCATGCTTGCAACCATATAAACCCCATAAGAGCCCTAAACCCAAAACCGAAAACTTTAAACCCAAAACTCAAAACCCCATAAGAACCCTGCAGAACGCAGTAGAGTCAAACTTTGGACGAAGAGTCGGTCAGGCCGACGTGGGCCGTGGATAAAGGTCGCGTACGCACAGCGCCCCTCGCGGGTGTGCGGGATGATGGCCTGCCTGACCTCAGCTTAAGGGTTTCTTTTGCTTCGGGTTTAGGGGTTTAGGGTTTAGGGTTTAGGGTTTAGGGTTTAGGGTTTAGGGTTTAGGGTTTAGGGTTTAGGGTTTAGGGGTTTCTTGAAGGATCCTGGTACTTAGTAAGTAGGGTTATAATTAGGGTAACTATACTTATAACCCCAATTAAGGGGCTTATAACCCTACTTACTAAGTCCCATGATCCTCCAAGTTAGGGCTGCTTCAATGATTCAAGGTTGAAGGCCTGGGGATTCCAGGCTTTGTAGGAGTTTTCCGGCGGCAGTTTTGATGTTCAGGGGCTCGAGACTATGTTTAGGCTTAGCCTTTTAGGGTTCCATTTCATTCATATAACTCTTTCATATCCCTGATGGAACCCCGCTAGAATCATAGAACACTTACGAAATCCTTGTAGACCCTTGGAAGAAACCGCAAAAAACCCTAAACCCTAAACCCTGCACCTTAAACCCTAAATCCAAACCCTGAGCCCTAAAACCCCAAATCCGAAACCCCGCAACGACCGAGGCGCCACGTCGGAGGTGGTGTGCTGCCCGGCCTGGTAAAGATGCTTTTTCGAAAGACCCCATGCCGAAAGCGAGCATCGTCTTGCAAAGAAAAAAGTCCCTAAACCCTACACCCTGAACCCTAAACTCTGAACCCTAAACCCTAAACCCTAAACCCTGAACCCTAACCCTAAACCCTATAAACCCTAAACCCTAAACCCGGAGCCCTAAGCCCTAAACCCTGAACCCTAACGTTTCATAAAAAAAAAACCCTCGAGGTGCTGCCCGGCCTGATAGTGCGGCATCAGCCGGCCGCCAAGGCCTCGGTTGTTGGAAGAAAGGCAGAGACTTCTGGGTTCCTTTCGTAGAAGTTTAGGGTTTAGGGGTTTTGGGGTTTAGGGGTTTGGGGTTTAGGGTTTAGGGGATTGGGGTTTAGGGGTTTTGGGGTTTAGGGTTTAGGGTTTAGGGGATTGGGGTTTAGGGGCTTCGGGCTTGGGGGTTTAGGGTTTAGGGGCTTAGATTTTAGGGGTTTGGGGCGTTTAGGGGTTTCGGGGTTTGGGGTTTAGGGGTTTAGGGGTTTAGGGGTTTGGAGGTTAGGGGTTGAGGGTTTAAGGTTTAGGGGATTGGAGTTTGGGGTTTAAGGGTTCCTTAAGAGGTTCCTTTCAGGGTTCCTGCAAGGCTTCCTTATGGGGTTCCTACAAGGGTTTGGGGTGTAGGAGGGCTTGCTGTAAGGATGGGTTCCTTCAAGCGTTCCTACAAGGGTTGAATAATAGGGGGCTCCTTTGCGGAAGCGTTCCTTCAAGCGTCGGGTTTCGGGTTTAGGGCTTAGGCTTTGGGGTCTGACGAAGGGGTCCAGAAGGTTTCAGCAAGGGTTCTAAAAAGCGTTGTGTTCTATGAGGTTTAGGGTTTAGGGCTCTGTTCTATGAGGTTTCATCAACACAAGAGGTTCTAGAATGTTCCCATGCGGGTGTTGACAAGGGTTGCAGAAGGTTTCCATAAGGGTCGCAAGAACGGTTGTAGAAGGGTCCTAGTGAGTTCCGTCAGTGTATCATGGGGTTTACGAAATGGTGGAGGCCTGAAACGGCACACGTGGCTCACGTGATTTGTATATAAACCCGAAACCCCGGCGACTTCCTAACTCCTAAACCCCAGCCCCAGCAAAGCTCTTCTGAGACCTTTGGTCACAAACTTCCAAACCAAATTTAAAAATCGCTGAAACCTTACAGTATAACCCTCTTACTATACCATAACCCAGGCGCTTTTGTAGAAATTGAGCAGAGCCTGGGCCGTGATCCCCCTCATCGACAGCTGCTCGACCTTAGCATATCGGGTCCTCTACGCCTCAACAAAAGATACGATTGCAAAAAACACCCCACCTTTCAAAACTAACAAAACAAGTCTGACCTTCGCTTGCCATTCAGGAGGTGCTTCAGTCCTGGACATTAAGCTTCGCAGGGGTTCTATCAGGTCTTCTATCAAGGTCCTCTACGGGTTCTGTTCGGGGTTCGGGGTTTACATTCTACAAGGGTCCTGCAAGGGCTCTATAGAGGTTCCGTAAGGGCTCCCCTGAACAGGTTCTACAAGAGCTCTGTAAGGGTTCTATGAGCGCTCTGCCAGGGTCCTGTAAGGGCTTGGGGCCTTTGGCGCTGTGGGGTTCGGGCGTTTCGGGATTTAGGACATAGGCTTTTGGCTCTTTTAATTTCGGGTTCTAAGACCTACGGTTCGGAGGAAGGCAACAGAAATGCGCAAAGCATAGGCGTCTACGAAATGATAGCCCAAGAAAGGTAGCAACCACAGTGAAGACCGTAAAGCCCAGTACCGGGGTGAAGATATTAAGGGCTCAGACAGAGCAAACTCAAAGACTGGAGAAGCGCAGGAAACACTAAACCGCAGCAGAGATCCAGGACACCACAAGGATAGCCTAGAGTCACTAGAGTATAGACTGTTGTAAGACAAGAAACAAAGAGTCCTAGACCTTAAAAGACCCGGTGCTCCAAAATCCTGAGTCCTTGGGTTAAACTGCTGCAGAGGCTTTTTTTTAAAAAAAAATGCAGTAGCCCTTTCTCCCGCACGAGGTCCAAGGCTCGCTCAGTTCGAGCGTGCACTCTTCAACCAAACAAAACAGACTTCAGCCAGCATCTTCCTCCCACTCACCTTGTCACCTTAGTGATGTCCATCTTCTTGACCATCCACATCCCGACTGCGACTCCGATCACGTTCTGCACGGCCTCCTCCCTCAGAAAACGAGCCACCCACATTTCCCTCAGGAGTCCACTGCCTACAAACCAACCTTTGTCCACGACGTCTTGCACCAAACCCAGACTGTTGCCGAGCACTCAAGGGTTGCTCAGGTAGTGGGCAGTTGACAGGGTAGTTGACCACCTGCGCATTCCCGGACTGTACCAAATAGAGGTGTCTGTCATCTTCCGGGGGCCGCCTACCTTCTGGTACTTGTCGTCCCACACGAAGATGTAGGTCGCGAACATGTTGTCTCCAGGCACGTCGTCGATATCCCGCAATCGTATGCGGTTCACTGTCCGGCAAAGCGCGCTGCAAAGCCTCTAGGTTGTTCGGCAAGTCGGGCTGGAGAAGAACACTGGGATGGACCGCTGGCAGAACCGTGGCTGTGTGTGACGGCCCATGACCATTGCTCGCTTCCCTCGTGATGACACCCCAGAGATTCATCTCCATCGTCGCCGCATTGAATGGCACTGCGAACCGCGGCACTTCAAGCTGTCCAATCACTTCCTCCATGGCTTCCTCGAGCAACCTCGCCAAGTGACGGAGGACTCTTTGCCTGTCTAGAAGGCGACGTAAAAGATCTTGTAGGTCAGCTTCAGTTGCCATAGTCGTCTCTACCACCGTTGCTTCACGCACCAACTCCGCTGGCCAGAGGATCGTCCCCATATTGTTCCCCTCAGTCCCCGCCCTCACACTGCTGCTGGTGCTTGTTGTCGTAGAAGGCGAGGTGCTCCACCATGTCACCCCAGCCAATTGCACCCATGCAACTTGATCATCTTCCTCATTTCCCTCATTAATCTCCATCCTGTTATCCACAGTTTCCATGGAGGACGTAGTCAAAGACTGAGACGTGTTGCATGAGGAGGACCATGACGTAGTAGAGGCCAAAGTACAGGTAGTGCATGAGGAGGACCATGACGTAGTGGAAGCCAAGGTACTGAAAGCGCAGGACGTAGACACCGATGTACTGGTTGTGCTGGTCGAAAGCACAGTCGTAGAACTGGTAGAGGAGTCATTCACAGCCAGTCCCAACGTCGACGTGGTCGTGGTTGGACCTGAAGAGCTCGCCCCACCAAACGAGCTGTCCGGGTTGGAGAGATCTTCGAGGGGTGGATCCCGCCAGATTCCTGGTAATTGGGACGGGTCCACCGTCACGTCATCCCCATTTTCCTCAGAGTCGTCCCTCTCCTCTTCAGAGTTAGCTGGTCGCGAACTCGGTGGCCCAGACCCAAACTCTGAGGACGACGACTGTCTTGTATCCATTGCACGTGCTGGAGACCTGCTGCGGGGTCGCCTTTCTCCTGACGAGGTGGCTGGCGTGTACGGTGGCGCAGTGTTGAAACCCATCGATATAGTCTCCGTCGGGTCAACTTCCTGCGGTTGCAAAGGCGAACCCAAGTTAACCTCAAGGGCCCTTTGTAGCAACGGCATGAATTGACGCGCCCAGTTGAGCCATCTGACGCGGGACAATTCCTCTCCTGGGATGCGCTGTATCGGCAGATAGCCACGTGGACGAAGGCGACGTTGTAGGATCTCCAAGATTGCATCCAGGGTGTGGACCGCATCCTCCAGTCGTGCAAGCAAGTGCCCACCTAGCCTCCGGTCCCGTTCCGTCTATTTGGTGATCGTCAAGTTGGCGCAACATCTCTTCCAGACGATTCAGGCTCTCCTCGTTGGTGCCGGCCTCCTGATGAGATGCCCTTTCACTGTTGGTGAGCTGCATCATCCAGTTGACTTCGCTTTCAAAGGTTGTGACATCCGGGAACAGGCCAAATCCTGGTACTCCATGGGGTCCTCCTGCTTGCTCCTCGCCTGTTTCAATGTCACCCTCTGCACTGTTTGTCCCATCCAACTCCTCCTCAAACTCCGGCTCCATTGTGGACGTGGACGTGGTAGACGAGGAAGAGGTTGACGTCAATTCACCCACCATCCAACATGATCCAATGTGGTTTAGGTCCAGGTAGGTGGAGGTCAGTGTGGTGAACATCACCCAGGGCCAAGGATCAGACAAATGTCCGTTGCGCTCATCCATATTCGCCCCAGGGTTGCACTCTTCCAGGTGTCCCGAATTCCACCCATTCCTTGTGTCTGGGGTCTCCCCAGAGT